GGAGCGCCATGTTGCCACTCGTAGAGTTTGCACTGAACAATACAGTGCATTCGTCTACATGCTACACGCCGTTCTACGTGAACGGGCTGATTCACTCTTGCGTCCCGCTGACGCCGTCACCCCATGGCTCAGGGCTTGGGAGGGGGGTAATAGCCGAACGGCTAGCTGATGTCAGCTCCCTCACCATACGTAAAGAAGTCGATGACTTCTTGCCTACCAAACTGAGTGTCTTACAACGTTCGCGATGCGATGGCTGAAAGCCAAGACCTGCAGAAACAATATTCAGACGAAAAAAGAAGAGGCAAAGTGGAAAGCTTTAAGGCCGGAGACCTGGTTTTATTGAATTCAAACAACCTGCCTACACATGCAGCCTCTGCTATCTTCCAGACGAAGCTTCGTCTACGGTTTATCGGATCGTTTAAGGTTGTGGCCAAACGGGGCCTGGCGTACACGCTGAACCTTCCGAAACGGATGCGCACCCACCTGGTGTTTTACGTGGGCTTGCTCAAGCCGTACCGGGATCCGGCGCTAGTGAGCGCGGAAGCGTTGGCGCCGGAGCGAATCCCACGGGCCCGCGGCCACCCAGAAACTGAATCAGCAACTGGTTCTGAGCACAGAGTGCAACAACATCCATTTCCAACGAAGCCAAGCGCTCCATTGTTGCCTGCAGCAATGCATTCGCCTGCTCCACGGCTAGGAGTCGTTCCGACAGAGTGCGGTAGTCCTCAAGGCGAGGCAACCTGCGCACGACGTGCTTTAAGTCGTCAAGAGCGTCCGCACAGCGATATACCCCATCAACACGACGCTCAGTGCAGCTCCGATTACGAAGGACCTTGTCCTCCAGGGCGCGAAGAGCATCAAGAATCACCGCCCACCACCGACTCTTCTCGATGAGAACGGCGACGTCCACTATCACGTGGGACGTCTAGTGAGACGACGTCGCCAACGGGGTCAAACCCAATATCTGGTGAAGTGGCGGAGATATCCCGACTCCGAAAACTCGTGGGAGTTCAAGGCGCCACTTCGGCAAGATTGTCCAGTTGCCGTGGACGCTTTTGATCGGAAATACCAGGACGTCCCGTGTCAACAGGCGCCC